CACCCCACGCACGCGCCACTGCACAGGAAGCGGCACGTAGGGGCTTCTGGCTCAAGGGGCCTCTACCGAAAGGTTCCACACCCTCACACTTTCACGTTTGCTTTCACTGAATCGACTGCGCCACACCCTCGACATGAGTCTGCTCGGTGCCGCTGCGCTCCTGTCCCTGCTGGTCCGCGCGGGAGCCGTGCAGCTCGGAGCACGTGGCAACTCGACCTTCGAGGCCGCGTTGGCCCTGGGCAGCGTGTGGGAATTCCCTCTGCCAGCAGACTGGGTTGCAGCTCCTCCGCTGGACTACAGCTACGGGAGGTGCAACTACGCCGCGGTCACGGCCACGAACGTTGGAACCGGCACAGTGGAGACAGGCTTCATCCGGTACGGCATCGAGAACCATGGGTCTTGTGCTGACACACACTGCGGTGGAGATTGGGGGAGGTTCTGTATGGTAAAAGGCGGCGCGAGTGGGGCCCAATCGACGACCGGAGTTGACGATTTTCCGTACTTCAATACGTGGGTACACCACAGCACCCCGAACTGCCGCACCACGTCCGACTCAGGCTGGGGTGGAGGCTGCGGCGGAGCCGTTCTGACTTTCTGGGCGCAGGGGAACTCGGGGTGGGAGACTGTGTACGCGTGGTCAGGTCCAGTCGCTGGGGCCCAACAAACTTGGACGAGGACCATGACCGCGGGTGAATTGGTCAGGGTTGGGTTTGACGCCGCCGGGAGCAACGCCCCCGCCCCGCCGCCGCCGACGCCAGCTCCAACGCAATCGCCCACTCCTTCCCCCACTCCTGCGCCTACGCCCGAGCCAACGTCGTCTCCGACTTCTGGTCCGTCGCTACTGTGCACGTACGCTCCCAGGGCGGTGCAGATGAATACCGACACTGTTCCAGGAGATTTCGAAGGTACAGACGATGACTGCATCTCAGGAGGTGGTTATAGCCCGCCGCCTACCGGAACCTACTTCGGCCACATCACCGCAGACCAGTTCCATGGACACAGCCAAAAAGTGGGCTGCTTGGAGTTCACACTGGACGTCGACGCATACATCGAAACGCGTTATGGTCGGCATGCTGCATGGAGCACGACATGCCCGATCACCATATTCAGTTGCTTGCGGCAAATCCCTCCCCTGTGCCAGCCCAGCATTCTTGGTGGCGACGGTTCGAGAACCGCACAACAAAAACCGTAACGTCTGACATCTCGTGCCCCGAGGCTTCGGAGAGCCGTAACATGGGACGCGCTCTCCCGCGACGTGTCCGGGTGTCTCTTTATGGCGGTGGTCGTCGTCGTCGTCGTCGTTTTTGTCGTCGTCGTCGTCGGCGTCAGCGTCGGCGTCGTCGTCGTCGTCGTCCTCCCTTCCTCTTCTTCCCTCCTCATCCTCTCTTGTGACCTTCTGGGTGCCTCTTTGGAGCGTGTTGGGGACCTCTCGGGGCCTCTTGGACCGTTTTCGGGCACTACTGGGCAGCCAAGGTGCCTTCGGCTGTCGTCATGGGGGCCTCTCAGGGCTCTCTTGGGGGTCAGTTGGGCCGCCTTGGGGCCTCCTTGGGCCGTCTTCGAGTCCTCTTAAGCCATCTTGAGAGGCTCTCGAGCCCCTCTAGGGCCATCTTGGGTCCTCATGGTGCCCTCTTGGGCCGTCTTGGGGGCCTCTTGCCGCATTGAGGCACTAGTGGGTCGTCTTTGCGCCATCTTGTGTTGCATTGGAGGCATATTGGGCCAATCCTGGCGGCCTTATGTGGCCTTGGTGGCCTGCCTGGACCGCTTCGAACCACGGGGAGACCCGGGGAGCGCCAGGGGGGCGCCAGAACGCCCAGAGGGCCAGGGGGAGGCGGCCAGCGCATGCAGCACGGGGCCTCCTGGCGCCTCCACTTCCAAGAGCGGAGACGGTGCAGGGTGGGACAGTGCAGGCGGTGTCCAGGCACCAAGGCCCACGCCGTCGAGGCAGGAACCGGCAGTGATTTTCCAGGGCGGGTGGGGGGGGGCCTCTTTGGGAGAATACACCGGCCCTGCCAGGCATCACGTGGGACCCTGTGACGCCTCCACGTGCCAGGGGGGCACGGGGGCGGATTCAAGGATGCTACCCGGCACAGTGACGAGTCGGTCACCGGGACAGTGATCGACGAGATCGGTTCCGCAAATCCGGGCTACTACAGCAAGGTATTCACCTCTTCAACTTTTGCGACTGGCACCCAGATCATGATGTGCGAAGGCAGGGATAATTCCATATGTGCCATCACTGTTGACTATATCAAGATATATGGAAGTACGGCGCCGACGCCAGCACCGACGTTGTTGCCGACTCCAACGCCGACGCTATTGCCGACGCCCGCGCCAACCTCGCCACCGACGCCCCCTCCAACTTCGACTGTCATTACACCTGCTTTGACGGATTACACTGCTTTCGACGAGGCTGGGGGGTCCTCTAATTGGGCCATCTCGGGCAGTCTGTTCACCGAGACAAGCAACATTCACGGAGGATGGTATTGTAGCGCGGACCAACTAGGAACGATTAACTTCGCATCCGTAGCTGCATCCGATTATGAGTGGAGCGTGGACGCCGCAAGCGCGGACAACGATGCCGTCGGCCTTGTGTGGCGCGTGGCTGACACCAACAACTTCTACAAGTACTCACACACCAACGATGGTGGTGGGTGCCGCACGGTCTATCTTATGGGCTGCGCCTTTTGCCGCCGACCCTCCAGATTGAGCCATGTTGGGACCTTGTTGGTGCCATCCAGGGGCACTCTTGGGGCACTCTTGAGCATTTTTACTATACTCCTCCGGACAATGTACAGTGGTCTTGGAGGCATATACGGGTTTCATGGGGCACGTCTGGGCGGTCTTGACCAAGCTCGGGAAAATATTGGTGCCCGAACGTCACGCCTGCTATATCGCGGAAACCATGGGGCACTCAAAAGAGACTAGCTTGAGCAGCCAGACGCGCAAACCGCCTGAGGCATCCCTGCAATCGTCCGAACGGGCAAGTGTCCCTCTCCCTGGCGGTTCCCCCCTGGGGCACCCCAGTGCCACGCCTGCCATGTATGTCGCGGTGATCATGAAGCTGTCAACAGACAGGAGGGAGTCCCAGGGGCAAAAAAAACACTCCGCTTTTAAGACATCCCCACGATCTGACAATCTGACCGCGAACCAGAAACTACAAGCGCCCCCGGCGGCTGCTTCTTGGGGTGCCCAAGTGCGGCGCCTGTAACGTTGGGTGTGAACTCGTCTGCGCGTGACTGAGTCCGAATATGATCGAAAAGGTGTGAGCGTGTCCTGGGCTTTACTGATTCGAAATACGAGCATGAGGCTGCGAGTGAGGCTTAGTATGGACGAGCCTGGGTGTATGTGTGTGTCTATGCGCGAGTGATCGGAAGTTCGCGTCATTGAGTCTCACGTGGGAGAAATAATGCGGGAGCGAGGTGAGGCGGAGGCACCCCACTAGCAACAATAACCCCATAGGATATGAGGACTAACATCAAGAGGTTCCCCATCCGGAGGCCGGACTTTATCGTCCGGTTGGAGATCCATGTTATGATCACGTTCGGATTAAGTCGGGCTTGTCCTTCTATAGGGGGAATATTCAAAAATAGTGAAAAATAGTCGGGGGATTATTTTTTGAGTATTTTGGGGCATCCTTTGAGCATTTTTTGCGTATCTTTCATTTTTCGTCCAAAGTCCCCCTGTAGGGGACAGGCTCGACCTAAGGGTAGTCGCCGTCGTCGTCGTGCCATTGCCATCGCCGCCGTCGTCGTCGCCACCTCTGCGGCCCTCGCCACCGTCGTCGCCGCGACCGTCGCCTCCCAGCGCCGTTACCGTTGTCGCCGTCGCCGTTGACGGTGCGGGGGGCATTGCGGGCTTGGCTCCTGCAGTCAGGGCGGGAGTCGATCGGTCTGCAGCTTTTTGCGAGTCCTGAGGCGACCTGGACATCGCGAGGAGCTGAGGGGCATCCACTCCTCGTGGCCTTCTTGGACGCCGCGGGCCCCCACTGTTGATAGCAGAGAGGAGGCCAGACTGGAGAGACGAGGGGCGGGAAGCACGAGGCAGGACGATAGACAGGAGGCAACGAGGCACCAGCAAGACAGCAGTCCAGCAGGGCACTTCGCAGCCCGTCGCCCCCAGAGTGGGCGGGCGGATAAGATCAGAGATGGCGTGCGTACGGAATTGTGGCGAGCTTCGTCGTATGCGCCCTACTCGCAGTCCTACAGCACTCCGTACAATTTCAGAGTGAGGGCAGTGGGATGCAATTTCGTGGGTTACTACAACGGTGCCCAGGACTTCGACATTACCGATTCCGATTGCGTGGCGACTGGGGGTGTTGGCCTATACGCTTGGGGTAACAGTGCTAGCCAGTGGAACAACATGCATCTGACTGCGTTGGCCTCAACTCCTGCCCCCGCGACTGGCGCGTCGAGCGGTGGGGGGGCTGCAAGCGCAACTGGCGACCCCCACCTGCAAAATGTTCATGGCCAGCGGTTCTCGGAGGGGCTCAATGTATACACCACGTCGTCGTTTCTTCGACCAAGAGCCAGTGAACTCGGCAAAGGAATTTGGTGTAGAGACGCTCCAGCGTCCCAAATGTTGGGCATCTAGGGCGTCTATACACCGAGCTTGGCCGACCAAGCGACATAGTGTAGAAATCGAGCCCCTCCCAGGTTCGACTTGATGAAGCCAGGCAAGCATGTTCTGATCAACATCCCTAAAGGAGAGAGCGCTGCGGACGCGATGCTTCGAGTGGTGGCCGAGGCGCGTCGCTTGGGTGGATGTTCGGATATGTATTTCCAGGAGCTGAATGTCACGGGGTCTTGGGCAGAGAAACAACAAGCTGGAGGGTACCATTACAGTGTATCGCAGCCTGCTGCCGAGCATCCAGAATGGGTTGCCTTTTATACGGTTGAACTGAAGGTCGTTCATGGACGTACCCAGAGCGGCTTCGAGTACTTAAACCTGTACGTCAAGCATTTGGGGCGAGCCGGATTCGCTGTGGGAGGTTTACAGGGGCAATGTCAGGGGAGGGATATTTACACATTGTTCTCTTCTATTTCTTCGAGATTTTTTTGATTTGATGCAGATGCAAGCAAACACCTCATTCGCTCTGCAGCTCTGGTAGTGACACTGATCCCAAGTGTTCCTCCGCATATCAACAGCGCTCTCTGGCACGATGCGCTCCCCGTTAAAGAGCAAGGCGTTGATGACTTTGCCTCCACCCCAGGCTGTCGACCAGGACGTTCGCAGCAAGAGTTCCGCGTGGTCACCCCACTGAACCGGGATCAATTTCATAATCATGAGAAAGTAGAAGGGTCGTTGGAACGGGGTGATCTGGTACTTCGTGCACAAGTGCTGCAGCGTTCTGCCTCGTCCAGGTTGTGCAACACTAGGACCCGTGGTAGTGGTGTCGACGACTTATCCTGGTACTGATGCTGGCGCGGATGCTGCTGCTGAGCCAGGTTGAACAACGTTGGTACTGGGGTCGGCACCTGCAATGATGGCTGTGACTCGCGGTGGGCCAGGCTGTGCAGCACTGGCCTTGCTCTATGTGAATCCGAGTGACGTCGAGTCATCAGTCGCCGGCGCCGCTGGTGAGAGACTGTTGGTGGCCGGGCGCATGGTTGATATGCGCCGCTTTTTACTCTGGCGGACCGGCTGTGCAGCACGGGTCTGCTCGCGCGAGCCCGGCAGGGCTACGCGGTACCTCTCAAATATTCGATGCAATTGCTTCTCGGGCTGGCCAGCACACTCCGCGACCGCGGTCTCTGTTGCCTGATCAGTGGCGCCGCGCCACGGCCCCCGCCGGCACGTCCGCTGCATGGCCGCTCCCCGATGCCATTGGCCCAAGCTATCTACAGGCCGTCCTTGGTAGTCTCTGCCGGCAAATGCTTCGGCACAACGCAGTAGTTTCTGTCCGACCTCTGAGGCACAGTCTCGGGCTGCATTCCGCATCGCGGTTGATATGACTACCTCGCATGCAGAGCAAATCAGAGGCATCGCCGTCCTCGTGTAGCTTTCAACAAGACGGCCAGGCTGTGCAGCGCTGACGCTGTGGAAAGGTCGTTTACCTGTGCACCCAGCGACAGCAGGCTGTTCAGCACTGCTCGCGGCTCCTGCAAGTGCTGCAGGCTATTCAGCACTGCTCGCACTGGGATCAACACTGCTCGCGGCTCCTGCAAGAGCTGCAGGCTGTTCAGCACTGCTTGCGGGGGCTCCGGTCTGACCATCGAGGCTAGCTCGGAGCCTGCTGCCTTCGGTGATGACCGCCTGCTGCAACTCTTTGATCAAAGTCGCTAATGGTCGGCGTCGTCTCTGATCTTTCTGTCGCACATCCCATGAAGAGCAGAGAGGGGACACCTTCATGTCGAGGGTTGGGCGTCTTCGTGAGCACCGAAACTGCCGAACGCAGTTTTTGAAAGTCTGGTGTGCTACACGCAGCACCTTGCACAGTCAACCACCGACCCACGGCCGCGATGGAACTGAACGTCTCTGCAGGTTGTTCAACACTGCTTGGAACATTGTTCTCTGCAGGATGCTCAACACTGCTTGCTGGGTCTCGTGCCTCGCCATTCGAGGTCTGTAAGAATGCCCGCATGACGCAATGCACTGCTGCACGCTCTTGCGTGGCTCTGCGAGTCACGGAATTGAGGCTGAACGGCAACGAGGATGAAAGGCATTACGACGCGGTGCTGAACAAATACATTCACACACACGCACACACACATGTAGCATTCCACGTGGGTGTTATGTATATATGCAAATATATTCGCATACGTAGAAAGACGTTTCGGACATGCGATCATACATTGGGCGTCATGTACCCCAGCCTGTTCTATGTGCGAAACCTTTGTGAATCCTAAGGGCTCAAGCTGCCCCACTAAGGGCTAAATATGGCCCGCAGACGGACAACATGCATGGACCATACGTGCGAACACACACACATATACATATATATATATATATAGCAGCAGCAATAGTGGATGATGTGCTGCGCTATGCTGTGCTCTGCTCTGCTCAGCTATGCTATGCCATGCAATGCTATGATATGCTGTGATATGCTGCGTAATCCTATGCTGGGCTAGGCCAGGCCAGGCTAGGTTAGGCTAGGCTATGCTATGATATGCTATGCTATGTTGCGCTATGCTATGCTGCGCTATGCTATGATATGATATGTTATGTTATGTTATGCTATGTGTTTGGTTTGCCTTCGTGTTTGCCTTCGCTTTTGCCTTTGCTTTTGCTTTTGTTTGGCACCCAGGGATCGCAGCTGGGGGAACCGCGCGTTTGCTTTTACCTTTGCTGTTGCTTTTGCTTGGCTCCCAGGGGACTGGAGGAACCGCCCGGGGCGGTTTGCACTGCCCGGCCCCTTTAAGCCAAGCGAGTAAGAACCCTTCAAGGCAGAGCCTGGGTAGGGAAAAACTCCGAGGTCCGCGCGGATTTTTCGGATCGACGCTGGACCCCCCTCCCTGGCGCGCGGAGCGCGCCAGGGGCGGCGCCAGAGGCGCCGCCAGGGGGCCCCAGCGCCGATCCGAGAAACCCGCGCGGACCTCCGAGTTTGTACGTTTATGCCACTTTTTGTTCTCCTAACTTCTCCGAAGGCTTGGGGATCTTCTCCGAAGGCCTTTTGGGTCGCCCGAGGCCTCCTCGGGCGGCGCGGACGGGTAGGCGTGGCCGGCCGGCCCTCCGCGCAGGCCCCGCCGGCTGTCCGCGGAGGCCGTCGTCGCGTCGGCACCGCCGACCCTCGGCCGCGCGCAGAGGGGGAGGCGGGGGCAAGTCGGGCCTGTCCCTCTGGTCGGGGGCGGCAAAGAAGGGGGTGATGACCAGAGGGGGGGGTGGATACGGTAGAGGGAAACAATTACCCCTCCCCCCCAACCTCAATTTTGGCACGCGCGGGGGAGACTGCGGTCGAAGTGCATCTCATCAGACCCACCGCCAACTTTGAACATTGGGGGGAGGGGGAGCCGTTGACAGATGAATGTTGCATGAGTGTTCGCTAATTTGTTTCGAGGCCTGTATCATGGCGGGGGCCATGATATTTCCCCAGGTGTCATGGCGCCTTTTCTTATTCCAGTACGTCCATGGCCCCCCCACTGGGCCGCGCACTTGCCGCTGGTCATGATTTGCACCACCCCCCTATTGGACACCCCCCTCTTGGCCGCTCCCGATCTGGAGGAGGAAGATTCAAAAATAGTCCAAAAAATAGTATGGGGACGATGTTTGGTGTATGTGTTGGACTATGTTCTGAATCGTGGTTGGAGTCTGTTTAAAGCTTCGTCCAAAATCCGCCCGTAGGGGGGCACGCCGGATCAGAAGGTAGGGGGAAGGGGGGGCCTTCTGAGAAGCACCCCTGCTTCTTAGAAGGCGCTGGCCTTATCTTGAGATGTGAGGCCGCTTTCTAAGTAGCAGCCTCCTTTGAAGATTAAGTTGGGCGTGTCCCTCTACAGGAGGAGTATTCAAACATAGTCTACAAGTGGTCTGGGGAGGTTTTTTTTTGTATGTTTGGGTATTTGGGTGCATCTTTTGACTATTTTTATTTTTCGTCTCAACTCCGCCTGTAGGGGGACATGCCCGACCTGATTCTAGGAAGCCTTCCCCCCTCCCCCCCGCCCCCTTCCTGCGCGCCGCCAGTATCCAGGAGGCAGTCGTCTCGTCGGCACCATGGGCGCGCCGCCGGCCCAGAAGCCCAGGCCCGCGAGGTCGTGACCGCTTCAGAGTGCTGCCTCCTTCGCTACGTCTCGTCAGCGGGTCACCCTGCTCGTGTGGTGTCCCTTCTGCTCCTCCTCCGCGTGCTCCTGGCCCCTTCTTCTACCTCTCCCTCAGTCCTCGGCCCCATCTCCCTCGTCCTCCCGCTCCTGTTCTTTCTATGTCATCGTCCCGAGCCTCTTTGGGGCCCACGCTGTAGTCGCTCCTTCGGGCTCAGGCCAGAGAGCTTTCGACTGCTTGCGCGCCCGCGCTTCCTGTGGGGCGCAACCCAGCCTGCCCCCGACGCCATGGTCATCCCACTCCCGCCCGGCATCATGCCGCCAAACTTAGAGGGACCTTGGCCACCCGAGCTGGAGGGCGCGGCTTGGAAGCTGAAGGTCTGCGTACTTTTGGCCCTCGCAAACGTTCCGCTCAAGTTGGTGATTGGCATTGCTGTGAAGTCGTATTTCAACCTTGACATCTCCATCATCGGGATGGTTTTTCAGGTCTTGCTGTACCAAGTCCCCCTCGTCCTCTGCGGCGTACTCATGCTCAAGAACGATCGAACCATCGCTCCAATATACCAGTGGCTCTCTCAGAAGATGCTTCCAGACTATTGGAGAGGGCTTGGCGACTTGGGCTTTCTGATGCCTTTCGTAGTGTTTAACGGGATATCCCTGTTCATGGGCTTGCTGAACGAACAGGGGCTCGCGACTTTTATCTCCGAGGTCTTCCAGGCGGGCACATGGAGCGATCCCACTGCGGGGTCCCTCATGCTGGCCTCCCTGCTGGACCTCATCCTGGGCTGGGTCGTGCAGGGCTGCTCGACGTACATCGGCTGGGGCGCCTACAAGCATAGGGGAACAAAAAGTGACATAAACAGAACAACTCGGAGGTCCGCGCGGATTTCTCAGATTGGCGCTGGGGCTCCCTGGCGGCGCCTCCGGCGCCGCCCCTGGCGCGCTCCGCGCGCCAGGGAGGGGGGTCCAGCGCAGATCTAAGAAATCCACGCGCAGCGCCAAAAGTTTTTCGGTTATGGCGTTCTTTCTTCTTCGATTGACGGTCCCGAGGGCGGCTAAAGAAGGCGTCCAGAGGCCGATTTTTATGTTCATGTCACTTTCTGTCCCCCTAAAGCAGCAGGCGCTGGCACGCGCCAGCGCCTCACAGACCGGCGACGCGTGGCCGGGGCAGAGGACCGCCCCCGGCCGGGAGCCCTTGCTCGGCCAGCCGCAGCCTCTCGGCGGAGGCAGTGTTAAGCCGGGCCTGTCCCCCTACAGGAGGATTTTCGACGAAACATTAAAATCCCCCAAAAATACCCCAAAAAGGCAAACAAATGTTCAAAAAATAGTCCCCAGACTATGTTTTTGATTTTTTTATTTTTGGAGTATTTTTTTCCATCCAAAATCCCCCTGTAGGGGGACAGGCCCGACTTCAAGGCAGTGCCGCCGCTCCGGCGGCAGGGTTCCGGCCGTTCGGCGGCCAGGGGCAGACGCTGGGCTCGAGGTGATGGCGGCGCCCCAGGCATCGAAGAACCCAGACCCCCTCGCGTCGTGACAAAAATCACGACGGCAGGAGTGGCGCTACTTTCGGGCCGGGCGAAAGGGGGGATAGGGAAGGGGGGGGTACGAAATCCGCTGCATGCAGCTGGTTTCGGCCCCGCCGCCGGGCCCATTCCCGGATACATGGGCGCCTCCCGGCGCGGGGAGGCGCCAGGAAAATCAGCTACGTGAGCTGATTCTCAAACCCCTCCTTTGCTACCCCCCCCTTTCGCCCGGCCCGATATTTTCGGCCTCCGGGGGGCCTTATACAGGGCCTCGGGAGCGTCAAGAAATTACCCGGTCCCGGGGAAGGGGTCGAGACCTCAGGGGGTCGACGTTGTGGAAAAGTCATGACGTCGGGGGTCTGGGAACCAAGAGCGGCATGAGCATCAGCCTTTCCAAGGTCGGCGCGGGCTCCTCCTCGCCACGGCTGGGTGCAGCTCGGAGAACTGGGATCCGAAATTTCGCTGCCGTTGTCTCAATTCGCCCTGCTCCGATTCTTGGGTCGGCGCTGGGCTCCCCTCTCCCTGCCGCGCGCTGGGGAAGGAGTGTGGGAAGGGTCAGGCAATCGCAAACATGGATTAAGGGGGGCGTGGATTAGCGACGGGTCCCGCTTCCATGGGAAACCGCGGATTTCCACCGCCGAACGAGGCGGCACCGGCCGCATTTTGGTGAGGGCAACTCCCCCAAACCATGGATTAGGCGACCGCGCGCCAAATCCATGGATCGCCAATCCATGTTTGCGCGCCCCCGATCCCTGCCGCGCGCTGGGGAAGGAGTGTGGGAAGGGGGGGGGCGGGCGGGGTCAGCGCCGATCGACCCGAGAAGTCCGCGCGGGCCTCCGGCGGCGTGAGATGCTGATGTGTTGGTGTTGTGTGCTGTCTTGCGGTGCAGGGCGGGAAAGGCGGGGGGGGGGCATGCGGGCGTGGAAGGCGCAAGAGCCTGAGAGCCTGGAGAGTGTTAGGACCGGGCTTGCCCCCTGCTGCCACAGAGCAGGCCCTACTTAGTTGAGCCGCAGTTGCACAGCTCCCAGCGCCCGTCCGGACCGCACCCCTCCTCAGACCCCCGACGTCATGATTTGGTTCACAACGTCGACCCTCAGAGGCCTCGACCCCTTCCCCGGGACCGGCTTCTAGTTTTTTGATTGTCCCGAGGCCCGGCGACTGCCCAGAGGCCGAAAGTAGCGCCAACCCTACCGTCGTGATCTTGTCGTGGCGCGAGGGGTCTGGGTTCTTCGATGCCCTTCGCCGGGGGGCCTCGGCCGGCACCCATTCGGACGGCCAGGCTTCTGATGTTCCAACCTACTTTAGCCTTGATCACCAGAAAACAATTCGAGCGCCAGGAAAGTACGAGGGTTTTCACGTGTCGGGCCCTGGGGGACACTCGTCCGACACCGTTTCGACACTATTTCGACACTCTTTCGACACTTTTCGGGGTGCTCGAAATTATTTCTGGGATATGGTCCCCAAGTGCGATGGGAGCAACACAAGGCCAGGCCTCCTCGCGCGTCGGGCGTCCGGCGGTTCGGGGCTCTGGGAGAGCGCGGTGCGCACGGGGCAGCGGCGCCACAGAGGCCTCGTGGGCGGCTCGGGCGGAGCCCGCTGTCGACCCCTCGGCCGCACGGCACCGGGGAGCTCGCGCCGGGATGAAGAGTGGTCTTCCCAGACTCCCTCGGGTCACGAAAAAGTCACGACGGGAGTCTTGTTCGTTATTCTCAGCCTCTGGACGCCCTGAGCCGCCCTCGGGACCGTCGCCGGCTGCGCGCAGGAGTGGCCCTCGGCCCTTCGGATGCCTCGGGCGCGGGCCCTGGACCCGGACCCCCCTCGCGTCGTGGGAAAGCCACGACGGGAGGCTTCTCTCGCCACTTCCGGCTTCCGGGGACCCTTCTACCGGGCCTCGGGAGCGTCAAAGAACGGCTGTCGGGGTGAGAGGCCGGGCCCGGGGAAGGGTTCCAGACCTCCTGGGGTTCGGCGCCATTAAAAAGAATTGAAAATATGACGTCGGGGGTCTGGGGAAGGGTCCCCCGATCGCCGAATGCGATGCGGTAGCAGCGGCCTGCGCGCTTGGGTTTGGCCCTCCCGCCCCCCCCGAAGGCGTGCACCGAAGATCACTCCAGCCTGGGGTCACTGTTGCGTGTATCCGATGGCGGGGCCCTGCCAGCTCGAGGTCTCTCTCTCTCTCTCTCGTGGCGTCGAGCAGGCTCCCGTATCTTGCCAGGAAGCTGGACGCAGCCAGCCTGGGTGAGAACCAGATACCTTTAATTAAGTCGGACGGTTCTTGATAATTTTCGCGTATTTTTGAATATTTGGGAGGATTGTTCGGGTATTTGTTATACTGTCGTCCAAAATCCGCTTGTAGGGGGACACGCCCTACCTCAGGATACCCCGTCTCGTGTGGCGAGGCTCTCCAGCGCTCAGGCTTCTCTATGACAGGGCACGCCAGGCTTCCGCACGTGTATCTCCAGCGCGTGGCTCTCCAGCGCGTGGCCCCCGGATGTCCCACGTGGGTGCTCCAGCTTCCCGGTAGCGAGGGCGCCCCCCCGCTTTCTCGAGGCCGAGAGCCAACAACCAATCTATAGCTGAGGGGGATGCGCCCGGTTCTCTTTGATCGGCGCTGGGCCTCCCTCCTCAACCGGGGGAGGGGGGGCTGGCACGCGAGAGTGCGCGGAGCGCGCCAGCGCCTGGCGCCGACCTTAGAGGACGGTCAGCCATACACACGCACACATGTGTGTATATATCTAACTATATATACATATAGATATATACATGCCAGGGTACTGGGCTGGGGCCTCCCGGAGCAGCCTCGCCAGCGCATTGGGGACACGGCCCTCCGAACCCCGTCCCCAGCGGCCCCGGAGGCGCCCTTGACGGCACACATGTGGACGGAACACATGTGTACGCAATGTATGTATTTATGCATGTCCATGTATGTATGTACGTATGTAGGTAGGTAGGTAGGTAGGTGTGTACGCATACAGGTGCGTACGTATGTGTGTATGGTTGTATGTATGTATGTATGTATGTATGTATGTATGTATGTATGTATGTATACATGTATGTATGTATGAATGTGTGTGTATGTATGTATGTATGTATGTATGTATGTATGCATGTGTGTGTATGTGTGTATGTATGCATGTATGTATATATGTATGTATGCATGCATGCATGCATGTGTGTGTATATGTATGCTTGTATGCATATGTTAATGTACATATATAGCATGTATGTATGCATGTATGTACATATGGGTTGGCATACGGACGTACGTACGTACTCACGTATATGTGTATGTACGTATGCATGCATGTATGTGTATATATTTGTATGTGCATACGTACGTACGTGTGTATGTATGTATGTGAGTATGCATGTATATATGTAGGTAGGTAGGTATGTGTGTACATACGCAAGTACGCATAATTGTATGCATGCAGGTATGTATGTATGTATGTATGTGTTTATGTCTGTATGTATGTATGTATGGGTGTATGTATGTATGTATGTATGTATGTATGTATGTGTGTATGTATGTATGTATGTATGTATGTATGTAGATAGTGTGCGTGTGTATGTAGGTACGTGATGGTTGTATGTATGCATGTATGTATGTATTGCATGTATGTAAGTATGCATGTGTGTGTGGATTTATGTAGGTATGCATATATATATATATATACATAGAATGTACATAAACGTGTTTGTTCGTATGTCTGTATGTGTGTAATATATGTGTATGTCTGTATATATGAGGTTGTGCACATGCAGGTACGGGTGCACGTGTGTATGTGTGTGCATGCCTGTATATACACTCATGTGTATGTGTAGATGCGTATGATGTATGTGTGTACGTACGTGTGCATGCCTATGTTTATGTATGTATGTGGGTGCCTACATCTAGTGTTGCATGCATGTATATATGTAAATGTGCTTGTATGTATGGGCACGTGTGCCTATGTAAATAGGAATGTCAGCATGCATGCATGCATGCATGCATGCATGTACATAGTTATGTATGCATGGATGCATATATGTTTGTGTGTATGTATCTATGTTTGGTTGGTTGGTTGGCTGGTTGTATGTATGTATGTATGCATGCATGCATGCATGCATGTATGTATGTATGTATGTATGTGTGTATGTATGTATGTGTATGCGTATGTGTATGTGTATGCGTGTATGCGTGTATGTGTGTATGTGTATCTTCTTTTTCCCTCTGGACCACTGCCAATGGTCAAAAGTCTCCCCGCTGCGGGGGACGCAACGCGGGGGGGCTCTCCATCACCGCCGCCACCCGGGCAACGCCCGAAGCCCGCCTGGGCAACGCCCGAGCGCCTACGGGCAACGCCCGAGGCTCGCAGGGGCTACGCCCAAGCGCAGTCGGACCCCCTCCGACACCGGCAACGCCGGCCCTCGAGCAACGCTCGAGGCGAGCACGGGCAACGCTCGAGCTCGGCCAGGGAGCAACCAACCGGAACAATAGCGGCTGCTGGAGGCCAAAACCGCGCTTCCTCATCCCCTCGTCCTGGCCTGCACAGGCCGCTTCTCCCGCTCAAGCTCAGTCTAGGAAATATCACGTATTGCACCAGAGTCGGCCAGTAACTAGGTAAAGAAACATGCAGCGGCCGAAATTCGGGGCTCATATTTCGCTCTGCCCGGCGCTGCCAAGAACCGACTACGAATTCATTGGCGCCTCGCATGGGCCATCAGCAGAGAACTTGGCCGAGCCAATCAGCATAGCGTTGCACAGACGCCATCTGGTGCGGCGCAAGCCCTGCTCGTACTAGGTCAGCCGCGCTCTCCTCTATGTACAGCCGGGCCGTGTGGGAGGAGGCCCACCGACCTCTGAGCAGTGTCGCTTCCATGAGGCCGTGTGAAAGAAAATCATCTGTGACTCCCCCTCTCTGGAGGGAGTACCACGTGAATCGCCAGGCCTGGAGCCCGAAGAAGGCCAGAAGCGCTTTGAAGGCTACCTGCAGAGAGTGGGGCGAGCGGCAAGCCAGCAACTGCTCCGCTCGCCGCCCCGCAGATCTGCCTATATCGCAGGCTCTCTCAGAAGTTTGCCTGCCTTCCGAGAGGCCTTCCAGCAAGAAGCCCCTGCCTTCCGAGAAGGCGCGCCGCCTACCGCAGCCTCGTGTCGCCACACTGCGTCCTCTAATCCTAGGAGAAGCAGTTGCGGCAGTCAGCGCAGCGTCCGAGGTGGCATGCCTGCCGCGGGGTCGCGGGCCGCCCGCGACGGCCCCCTGGTCCGCAGCGTGCCGCGAGCGGACTGGAGTTCAGACCGCAGAAGAAGTCCACCAGCTGGACCTCCCAAACTGCCTGCAGCCGCGCGTGTCTGGTCTCGCTGCGCTCGAGCGTCGGGTGCCGTTCGCCAGAGCGCTCTTGGCAGGGGTTTGGGCTCTTTCCTGCTTCGGGCGGAGGCACCCCACGCACGCGCCACTGCACAGGAAGCGGCACGTAGGGGCTTCTGGCTCAAGGGGCCTCTACCGAAAGGTTCCACACCCTCACACTTTCACGTTTGCTTTCACTGAATCGACTGCGCCACACCCTCGACATGAGTCTGCTCGGTGCCGCTGCGCTCCTGTCCCTGCTGGTCCGCGCGGGAGCCGTGCAGCTCGGAGCACGTGGCAACTCGACCTTCGAGGCCGCGTTGGCCCTGGGCAGCGTGTGGGAATTCCCTCTGCCAGCAGACTGGGTTGCAGCTCCTCCGCTGGACTACAGCTACGGGAGGTGCAACTACGCCGCGGTCACGGCCACGAACGTTGGAACCGGCACAGTGGAGACAGGCTTCATCCGGTACGGCATCGAGAACCATGGGTCTTGTGCTGACACACACTGCGGTGGAGATTGGGGGAGGTTCTGTATGGTAAAAGGCGGCGCGAGTGGGGCCCAATCGACGACCGGAGTTGACGATTTTCCGTACTTCAATACGTGGGTACACCACAGCACCCCGAACTGCCGCACCACGTCCGACTCAGGCTGGGGTGGAGGCTGCGGCGGAGCCGTTCTGACTTTCTGGGCGCAGGGGAACTCGGGGTGGGAGACTGTGTACGCGTGGTCAGGTCCAGTCGCTGGGGCCCAACAAACTTGGACGAGGACCATGACCGCGGGTGAATTGGTCAGGGTTGGGTTTGACGCCGCCGGGAGCAACGCCCCCGCCCCGCCGCCGCCGACGCCAGCTCCAACGCAATCGCCCACTCCTTCCCCCACTCCTGCGCCTACGCCCGAGCCAACGTCGTCTCCGACTTCTGGTCCGTCGCTACTGTGCACGTACACTCCCAGGGCGGTGCAGATGAATACCGACACTGTTCCAGGAGATTTCGAAGGTACAGACGATAACTGCATCTCAGGAGGTGGTTATAGCCCGCCGCCTACCGGAACCTACTTCGGCCACATCACCGCAGACCAGTTCCATGGACACAGCCAAAAAGTGGGCTGCTTGGAGTTCACACTGGACGTCGACGCATACATCGAAACGCGTTATGGTCGGCATGCTGCATGGAGCACGACATGCCCGATCACCATATTCAGTTGCTTGCGGCAAATCCCTCCCCTGTGCCAGCCCAGCATTCTTGGTGGCGACGGTTCGAGAACCGCACAACAAAAACCGTAACGTCTGACATCTCGTGCCCCGAGGCTTCGGAGAGCCGTAACATGGGACGCGCTCTCCCGCGACGTGTCCGGGTGTCTCTTTATGGCGGTGGTCGTCGTCGTCGTCGTCGTTTTTGTCGTCGTCGTCGTCGGCGTCAGCGTCGGCGTCGTCGTCGTCGTCGTCCTCCCTTCCTCTTCTTCCCTCCTCATCCTCTCTTGTGACCTTCTGGGTGCCTCTTTGGAGCGTGTTGGGGACCTCTCGGGGCCTCTTGGACCGTTTTCGGGCACTACTGGGCAGCCAAGGTGCCTTCGGCTGTCGTCATGGGGGCCTCTCAGGGCTCTCTTGGGGGTCAGTTGGGCCGCCTTGGGGCCTCCTTGGGCCGTCTTCGAGTCCTCTTAAGCCATCTTGAGAGGCTCTCGAGCCCCTCTAGGGCCATCTTGGGTCCTCATGGTGCCCTCTTGGGCCGTCTTGGGGGCCTCTTGCCGCATTGAGGCACTAGTGGGTCGTCTTTGCGCCATCTTGTGTTGCATTGGAGGCATATTGGGCCAATCCTGGCGGCCTTATGTGGCCTTGGTGGCCTGCCTGGACCGCTTCGAACCACGGGGAGACCCGGGGAGCGCCAGGGGGGCGCCAGAACGCCCAGAGGGCCAGGGGGAGGCGGCCAGCGCATGCAGCACGGGGCCTCCTGGCGCCTCCACTTCCAAGAGCGGAGACGGTGCAGGGTGGGACAGTGCAGGCGGTGTCCAGGCACCAAGGCCCACGCCGTCGAGGCAGGAACCGGCAGTGATTTTCCAGGGCGGGTGGGGGGGGGCCTCTTTGGGAGAATACACCGGCCCTGCCAGGCATCACGTGGGACCCTGTGACGCCTCCACGTGCCAGGGGGGCACGGGGGCGGATTCAAGGATGCTACCCGGCACAGTGACGAGTCGGTCACCGGGACAGTGATCGACGAGATCGGTTCCGCAAATCCGGGCTACTACAGCAAGGTATTCACCTCTTCAACTTTTGCGACTGGCACCCAGATCATGATGTGCGAAGGCAGGGATAATTCCATATGTGCCATCACTGTTGACTATATCAAGATATATGGAAGTACGGCGCCGACGCCAGCACCGACGTTGTTGCCGACTCCAACGCCGACGCTATTGCCGACGCCCGCGCCAACCTCGCCACCGACGCCCCCTCCAACTTCGACTGTCATTACACCTGCTTTGACGGATTACACTGCTTTCGACGAGGCTGGGGGGTCCTCTAATTGGGCCATCTCGGGCAGTCTGTTCACCGAGACAAGCAACATTCACGGAGGATGGTATTGTAGCGCGGACCAACTAGGAACGATTAACTTCGCATCCGTAGCTGCATCCGATTATGAGTGGAGCGTGGACGCCGCAAGCGCGGACAACGATGCCGTCGGCCTTGCGTGGCGCGTGGCTGACACCAACAACTTCTACAAGTACTCACACACCAACGATGGTGGTGGGTGCCGCACGGTCTATCTTATGGGCTGCGCCTTTTGCCGCCGACCCTCCAGATTGAGCCATGTTGGGACCTTGTTGGTGCCATCCAGGGGCACTCTTGGGGCACTCTTGAGCATTTTTACTATACTCCTCCGGACAATGTACAGTGGTCTTGGAGGCATATACGGGTTTCATGGGGCACGTCTGGGCGGTCTTGACCAAGCTCGGGAAAATATTGGTGCCCGAACGTCACGCCTGCTATATCGCGGAAACCATGGGGCACTCAAAAGAGACTAGCTTGAGCAGCCAGACGCGCAAACCGCCTGAGGCATCCCTGCAATCGTCCGAACGGGCAAGTGTCCCTCTCCCTGGCGGTTCCCCCCTGGGGCACCCCAGTGCCACGCCTGCCATGTATGTCGCGGTGATCATGAAGCTGTCAACAGACAGGAGGGAGTCCCAGGGGCAAAAAAAGCACTCCGCTTTTAAGACATCCCCACGATCTGACAATCTGACCGCGAACCAGAAACTACAAGCGCCCCCGGCGGCTGCTTCTTGGGGTGCCCAAGTGCGGCGCCTGTAACGTTGGGTGTGAACTCGTCTGCGCGTGACTGAGTCCGAATATGATCGAAAAGGTGTGAGCGTGTCCTGGGCTTTACTGATTCGAAATACGAGCATGAGGCTGCGAGTGAGGCTTAGTATGGACGAGCCTGGGTGTATGTGTGTGTCTATGCGCGAGTGATCGGAAGTTCGCGTCATTGAGTCTCACGTGGGAGAAATAATGCGGGAGCGAGGTGAGGCGGAGGCACCCCACTAGCAACAATAACCCCATAGGATATGAGGACTAACATCAAGAGGTTCCCCATCCGGAGGCCGGACTTTATCGTCCGGTTGGAGATCCATGTTATGATCACGTTCGGATTAAGTCGGGCTTGTCCTTCTATAGGGGGAATGTTCAAAAATAGTGAAAAATAGTCGGGGGATTATTTTTTGAGTATTTTGGGGCATCCTTTGAGCATTTTTTGCGTATCTTTCATTTTTCGTCCAAAGTCCCCCTGTAGGGGACAGGCTCGACCTAAGGGTAGTCGCCGTCGTCGTCGTGCCATTGCCATCGCCGCCGTCGTCGTCGCCACCTCTGCGGCCCTCGCCACCGTCGTCGCCGCGACCGTCGCCTCCCAGCGCCGTTACCGTTGTCGCCGTCGCCGTTGACGGTGCGGGGGGCATTGCGGGCTTGGCTCCTGCAGTCAGGGCGGGAGTCGATCGGTCTGCAGCTTTTTGCGAGTCCTGAGGCGACCTGGACATCGCGAGGAGCTGAGGGGCATCCACTCCTCGTGGCCTTCTTGGACGCCGCGGGCCCCCACTGTTGATAGCAGAGAGGAGGCCAGACTGGAGAGACGAGGGGCGGGAAGCACGAGGCAGGACGATAGACAGGAGGCAACGAGGCACCAGCAAGACAGCAGTCCAGCAGGGCACTTCGCAGCCCGTCGCCCCCAGAGTGGGCGGGCGGATAAGATCAGAGATGGCGTGCGTACGGAATTGTGGCGAGCTTCGTCGTATGCGCCCTACTCGCAGTCCTACAGCACTCCGTACAATTTCAGAGTGAGGGCAGTGGGATGCAATTTCGTGGGTTACTACAACGGTGCCCAGGACTTCGACATTACCGATTCCGATTGCGTGGCGACTGGGGGTGTTGGCCTATACGCTTGGGGTAACAGTGCTAGCCAGTGGAACAACATGCATCTGACTGCGTTGGCCTCAACTCCTGCCCCCGCGACTGGCGCGTCGAGCGGTGGGGGGGCTGCAAGCGCAACTGGCGACCCCCACCTGCAAAATGTTCATGGCCAGCGGTTCTCGGAGGGGCTCAATGTATACACCACGTCGTCGTTTCTTCGACCAAGAGCCAGTGAACTCGGCAAAGGAATTTGGTGTAGAGACGCTCCAGCGTCCCAAATGTTGGGCATCTAGGGCGTCTATACACCGAGCTTGGCCGACCAAGCGACATAGTGTAGAAATCGAGCCCCTCCCAGGTTCGACTTGATGAAGCCAGGCAAGCATGTTCTGATCAACATCCCTAAAGGAGAGAGCGCTGCGGACGCGATGCTTCGAGTGGTGGCCGAGGCGCGTCGCTTGGGTGGATGTTCGGATATGTATTTCCAGGAGCTGAATGTCACGGGGTCTTGGGCAGAGAAACAACAAGCTGGAGGGTACCATTACAGTGTATCGCAGCCTGCTGCCGAGCATCCAGAATGGGTTGCCTTTTATACGGTTGAACTGAAGGTCGTTCATGGACGTACCCAGAGCGGCTTCGAGTACTTAAACCTGTACGTCAAGCATTTGGGGCGAGCCGGATTCGCTGTGGGAGGTTTACAGGGGCAATGTCAGGGGAGGGATATTTACACATTGTTCTCTTCTATTTCTTCGAGATTTTTTTGATTTTTTGGGGGGCCAAGATCCTTTCATTTCTACTTGTTCTGTCCTGGGCCTCTTCCTGGCCATTAGGGGGCCAGGAACTATTACAAACAAGCGCACTTAGAAGTGAGCACGATTAGACATGAACGATCTGTACGCTCAGGGGAGGCGCATCGACTCCAATTCGCCCATTGATCGCCGAACCGCCCAGGAACGTCCACATTCGCGATCGGATGCCTACCGCCTATCAATCGGCGATGTTTCGCGGATTTCAGTTCGATGTTTCCCCCCTGAGCCGGTCCCCCCTAACGTTCCCCCTCAGGTCTACTTGGCGATGACGACCACACAGACGCAAGCACTGTTCCAGTTGCTTGCCGTAAACACGCTGTGGCGCTTGTGGCTGGGAGTGATGACGACGATCAGCCCATGATTTCATCCGCAGAGGCAAGCAACCTCTGACGCGTTTCATCGGCAGTCCATGATGTCATCTTTTGTTCCTGCCGTTCGCTGATACAGGAAAAAGGAGCCAGGATGATTGGGGTTCCAACTCCCCTGTTCTTATTATCGGGTAAGGAGCAAATAGAGACCAGCTCATGTAGACATTAGCGGTGCTCCTAAATCCATCGCAAGATGAGCGCAAAGCTGCCCGTCATTTCTCCCTCGGTTGTCCAGTTCAGCAATTGGCATGATCCGGCCTTCAGGAAGCCTCCCTCTGGCAGATCGACACAGGACACTGCCATTTCATGACCCTCCAGTATCGGGGAAACGTCAGACTCAAGTAAGCCGGAACTCGGGTTTGCCGCCGTTTCTTGACGAGCGCGTCCTGGATTTTGACTGTCCGATTTTCGTGGGATGTTTGCAGCAGGAGCTCGCGTCAGATTTCAGATTGGGTCTCGTCATTTTCATGATGGCCCCGTCGGGCTGACCCGAGTCCCCCGTACCCGAGTGTCACGTCTCCCCGACAGTGGCCCTGTGTAGTCAGGGAGGTACAGGAAAAACCGATTGGGCTCTTCGGCGGTCGTCCATCAAGTCGCAGGCCGCCGTTCTGCCAGCGCTGCGGCCGTGAAAACGAGCGAAGTACTTGCTCGGTTCTCGGGCCTCGTCTGGCCCCTCCGTCGTTCGTGAGGGCTTGAGAGGCAAGTAGAGTGCGTCTCCCGCTGGCCTGAACGATGTCGATGCCCAGCATGTTGCATGTGATCTTCTGTCTTGGCCCCACCCTTCCCTGTCAGAGCAAGCGGAAGCAGGGACACTTGCGGCAAGGGAAAGGCGGAGAAGCCGCATCAAGAGGGGCACAACGTGGAATCTCTATATGTGTATATATATATATATATACTGCCATTAGTTTGTTGATTTTCTCCAGATCGCCCGTCGTCCTCATCCCCCCTACTTTCTCTCTCTCTCTCTCTCTCTCTCTTTCCCCCCATCCTCCTGGAAGTTGTCGCGCGAGCCATTTTCTCGTCTATTTGGGGGGCCGAGAACGGGCCAGCCCTTCCGAGCCCCAGTAGTTCCTGGAATGTTCGGAGCCGGTTGAGGGAGCGTTTCATCATCAGCAGTATGTGGTCATTGTCGCGATTACAATGACCACCAACGCCTCAACATCAACATCAACAACACCAGCGTCATCATCATCATGATCATCAGCAGCATCAGCATCGGCATCCGCATCAGCATCATCATCATCGTCGTCAGCACCATCAGCATCATCGCCATCATCGTCGTCGCTACCCTCATCGTCATCATCATCATCGTCGTCGTCATTGTCGTCATCATCATCAACAGCAGACAGCGCCAACGTCAACACCGTCGTCGCCATCCTCACCGCCAACACAGTCCTCCTCCGCACACAGCTCGGCCGCTCGCGCCTCGCCGGCCGCCTGGGCGGGGCCGACATGACATGACGGCGCTCTCGCCGCCGGGCGGCCCCCAGGGGGCGGGCCCCCGCCAGCGGGACTCGTCGGCCACGTCGGGCCCTGTCAGCATGGAGGGCCCCAGAGGGGGGTTATAAGAACGATGTTGATAAGAATGACAGCGATGACAATGATAGAAGCGAATCCATAATATAAGTACTAATAGAAATAATCGTAAGAGTAATCGCAGTGGTAGTATCAATAGCAATAATACGGATGATTATGAGGATGGTGATTGTAATGATGATGTCAGTAGCAGAGGTCATGCAGAGGTCTTCATAGCAGAAGGCGCCCGAGGAGGGTTAGGGCAGAGGTCCAGTCGGGCGAAACGGGGCCCTGAGGTCCGGGCGTTGCAGTTTTTCCATAACGAGCGTTTTCGCCCATTTCAGGGCACCGGGACCATCATTGATCGATCTTTTTCGGAGATTGGATGCGGAATGGTGTGGTCTTGGGCTCCTGTCGTGAACGCCCAGTATGATTGATGGTGGTGATGATAATGATAACGATGATGATTTACATACTACGAATAATAATCGTAATGATAATGATAATGATGATGATGATGATGATGATGATGATGATGATGATGATGATGATGATGATGATGATGATGATGATGATGATGACAGCGACGATGAGGACGAGAATTAGGATGAGACTCGGATTAGGATGCGGATGAGGATGATGATGCTGGTGATGGTGGTGGTGGTGGTAGTGATAATGATGACGATGACGACGCTGATGATTCTGATCATTATGCCGATTATGACTGATGATGCTGATGATGGTGATGCTGCTGATGGTGCTGATGATACGGGCGATGAGAATGATTAGACGATGATGATGCTGATGATTACGCTTATGATGCTGATGTTGATGATCCTGATGCTGATGCTGATGCTGATGACGACGATGATGATGATGATGATGATGATGATGATGATGGTGCTGATGATGATGGTGATGGGGATGATACTGCTGTTACCGATGATGATGATGATGATGATGATGATGATGATGATGCTGATGCTGATGCTGATGCGATGATGACGATGACGAGGATGATGATGATGATTATGATGATGTTAATCATTGGGTCATTCTAGCAGAGGCCTGATCGGGCGAAAGAGGGGGGGATAGTGTAAGGGGGGCAGGAGAGCTGCTGCATTCAAGGCCTCCTGAGTGGGGTCCAAGTAGGTGGTGTCGGAGGATCGTGCCGCATCGCCGATGCATCGGTGACGCGGCGCTCGATGTGGAGCCCGATTTTCTCCGCGCCGACGGCGCCGATGCACCGCCGACGTCGCCGATGCATCAGCGATGCCCTGGTTGACGCAGCGCGCTCCTCCGACCCCATCTTCTCGGACCCCATTTGGAAGGCTCGCATGCATGCAGCTGGTTTTGGCCTCGTAGCTTAGCGCTGTCCTCGGCACATCTGCACAAGCCGATTCGCTACGCCCCCCTTTATGAGCTCCCCCCGTTTGCTGGCCCAGACAGGGGGGTTGGGCCGACGTTCCGCGTCTGACCCCCTTCTCCAGCCCTCGGGGGGGGGCTTGAGCGGAGGGGTATCGGCCCAAGCCCTCCCCAAACATCCGATGATATGCTTTCTCTCCCACGTTCCTGTGGGCAGCTTTTTTTCGCCTCATCATCATCATCATCATCATCATCATCATCATCATCATCAGCATCAGCATCAGCATCAGCATCAGCATCAGCATCAGCATCAACATCATCAGCATCATCAGCATCAGCATCAGCATCAGCATCATCATCATCATCATCATCATCATCATCATCATCATCAGCACCATCAGCATCATCGCCATCATCGTCGTCGCTATCCTCATCGTCATCATCATCATCGTCGTCATCGTCGTCACAATCATCATCAGCAACAGCGCCAACGTCAACATCGTCGTCGCCGTCCTCACCACCAACACAGTCCTCCATCCGCGCCCCGAGAGGTCCCGACCACTTTCCTGTGGGCAGCTTTTCGCCTGGGATCCGTGATTGCTTGGCCCTGGGCCTGATAGCGGCTTCCGGAGGCCGGAATCGAGGACAGCCTCCTGGGATTGAAGAAATCAGATCGTCGGAGATTTGGGTCCGCCCTGACCCCCCTTTGGATTTGGGCACCCGAAATGGGTACGGAAACAATGGGTACGATGCTCAATGATAGATGCTATCCAAAATAGACAGCAGCCGTTGTTGGGCAGGCGACTTCATTCTCGAATGGACGACGTCCGCGGCGACACCGACAGCGAATCCTGTCCAAGACGCTGTCGGTCTTCGTACCCGATCTTTCCATACCCATTTCGATCCTACCCTGACCCGTTTGAGATCCGACGGTGCGAAACAAAATTAGGCATCGGGAAAAATTCGACGGGAGCTCTGGACTCCACATGTCTGCATCATATCTCGAGCCGCATCCATCCGTGCGGGCCCCAGGGCCCGAAGCCTGGCGAAACTGCCCCTGCTCGAAAAGATCGAGACGCCAGGATCTGAGGGCCTGGATCGCGCCTCACCGCAGATGCGTCGGCGATGCGGCTCGATGAGGAGCACGATTTTCTCCATGCCGACGTCGCCGATACGTCCCCGACGTCGCCGATGCATTGGCGATTCGACGCGGCACTCCGACCCCATCTACTCAGACCTGATCTAGGCGGCCTCTCTGCCTTTGGAGCCCTCCAGTCGGCTCTCGCCAGCCGGCGCCGGCCCCGCGGGTCGGCACCGCCCGGCGCCTGTCCGCCGCGCGCCAGCTGACGAAACTGGGCGAGCACGTGCTGCGCGGCGACGCCGCCGAGGGCGAGGAGCTTGAGGAACGGGCGGGCGGAAACTCTCCAAGGAAGAGGGGGCGCGCAAAGGAACGGACAGGGGAAGGAGGAGGAGGAAGAGGAGGAGGAGGAGGACCCCTGTGTAGCCTCCGAGGGGCCGCGCCGATTGATGGCGGTGGACACGAAGCGCTGCTGGCGCTGAGCGCGACCGAGCCACGCAGGGACGGCCCAACACCAGCGCCACTCGGAGGACACGGCCCTGCACCAGGCGGGAAGGACAGGGGTGCGACTGGCGGCCGTGGGCCATACTTTCCGACCTGGCGAGCCCGCGAGCCCGGCACTTGCTACCCCGCCCCGGAGTCCAGGCGGGCAACACGGCACGACGCGGCATTGCACGGCGCCCCGGCCAGTCGGCCAGTCGGCCAGTCGGGGAGTCGCGGAGTCGCGGAGTCGGCCAATCGGCCAGTCGGGGAGTCGGCCAGTCGGCCAGTCGGGGAGTCGGCCAGTCGGCCAGTCGAACATCGGGGAGACGGCTTGTCGGCCAGTCGGCCAGTCGGAAATCGGGGAGTCGGCCAGTCGGGGAGACGGCCAGTTAGCCAGTCGGCCAGTCGAGTCGGCCAGTCGGAGAATCGGCCAGTCGGGGTCTCGGGGAGTCGGCCAGTCGGTCCAGTCGGGGAGTCGGCCAGTCAGCCAGTCGGGGAGTCGGCCAGTCGGCCAGTCGGCCAGTCGTGGAGTCGGCCAGTCGGCCAGACGGGGAGTCGGGGAGTCGGCCAGCCGGGCAGTC